GCTGCCTGCTTGCAAACAGAATTGTTCATAACCATTTTTGGTTCTCACCAGTCAAGGTGAAACTAAATGCACCGAAACAGGGTTGCATCTTTGTAGTGAGTAAATTGTTTATCTCTCTCTCTCTCTGTATATATATATATATATATATATATATATATATATATATATATATATATATGTAAAAGTGAACATTGAAATCAACACTTAGAGGCGACAGACTGTTTCATGCTAGACGCAATCGTCTAGCCACGAGTGTTGTTGTTTTTTTTCCCTCGGCTATTTATATATACGGGTCAGCGGTGCATTGTGGGTGGTGTATTTTAAAAGTCGTTTATTTGTTAATTTATTTATTTGGGTTAAATTATTTTACTTGTTTTTATTTATTTTTATTTCTTATATATTTATTTGTTCATTTTTATTTTAATCGGTGTTTTATTAACGTAGTGAAAATTTGTTTATATCGCTTATTTAAAAGTTTTGTTTTGGTTTGTGAAGATAATTAAAGCTATTTATTCAATTTTGGGGTTGATTGCTGTAGTTTATTCTAACTATTAATTTGGCTGGAGCAGTTCTTAATTTATTTATTACTTCATTTATCTAATTGTATTGATTATCTTTACTTGTTTTTTTCTAACGGTTAATTTATCGGGATCGGTTTGTTAGTTTATTTATTTCGATTTGCTCTATCTCTGATATTGCGCACTTTATCCCAAAAATATAGCACAGCTTAAGAGTATACTTCTTCATATATATATATATATATATATATATATATATATATATATATGTATGTATGTATATATATATATATACAGAGAGAGAAAGCCACAAGTTTATTGTTGTATCCCAAATACAGATGCCAGCACAATTTAATTATTTCATTCAATTTCCCCCTTCGACACTGCCGGTACGAACAATATGATTATTCTTTTTTAAATAATGAGTACCTAGAACATGTTATAAGGAGACAAGGCTTTGAAAACCTGACACTCACAGGACTGAAGGCATAGATTAGGAAGAGGGAAACGTAGAGTAACCTCCCTAGCGAACTTGTGAAAATAGATGGCAGTACAGGGCGTGAGAGGGTTAATAACGTAACATACATTGGTTGGACCTACAAAGGAAGTTATGGATAGCCGTGATCGCCCACGACCTGAAAGGATGCGACGCTTAAACGATGAAGACCATGAAATAACTCATGATGATAATTTTCTAAAAACGTATCTAGTTCGCCATTTTTAAACATGTCTGCAAACTTGTCAGTTTCGTCTCTTTACCCTGTAATACGTCTGGAAACATCAAAGAGTGTTTGACGTTACTTTAGCACGGACTGTAGTAAGGCATACCGAACGCGTTATATTGCTCAGAGATTACAGAACAGAGATCGGAGAAAATAAAAAAAAAAGAAAAGAAGATTAAATAATCAAAGGGAAAAGAAAGAAAAAATATCGCCTATTCATCTTACCATTTTCTTTTTCTTTAACGCGTCTTTGAAATGTCGAGAACTCGGAGAGGAAATGGAAAGGACAAGTCAGTGTCATCTCAATATTATTTGAAGTCTTCGGAAGCGTCATTAAGTATGAAAAAAAAAAGTTTCTCGGGTTCCTTTGTTTCCTTTCATCAGACGAATAACATAAAAGGCTGATATTTCTGATATTTTGGGACATGACTTGAAGACAAAAGTTGCAAGACTTACTCAGTCGGCAGTGCTCGCTATCCATGTCCGACAATAGGTCAAGCGTTAAGTATCGATTTTCGTGGAGGAAAAATGGAAGACTTGAAAAATAAAGTATTAAAACCATCCAGATGCTAGTATTATTAAAATTAGCGAGAATATTGAAGACTTGCTGTTAGATGTTATTTTGTTTTTACAATAATACTCAACGTGTACAAGACACAAGAGCCACTCGATTTGGCGGGGGTCAAACTATGGCTTTGTTTGCCTGGCGATTTTTATTATCCGGTGTTAAAATTTTTCTATTTATTTTTTATATCACCAAAATTTATTGGAATAAAAATTATATAACTTATATTTACTTATATGTAGATGAAGTATTATTGAGTGTTTGTGTCTATATAGATATATATGTTTTTATTCTGTCGAGAGTTTATTCCACAAAGGAGCGGCTCTTGGAAGGAAGCTACCTGAGTGCAACTTACTTCATAAAAATGGAATATGAATGGAATGAGGATGGTTCGCCCATCTATACATAACATGGAGAGTTTTAGCTGTAATGGTCTGAACTGGTGGAACTAAGGAACGCAGTTCATCTAAAAACTTTCCATCTACCGCAAGGAAAATTGGTTCTCTGTTCGCGCCAGAAAGTTTTTCTCGCCCGAGTCCATCCTTCAAATCTATAAATCAACCATTCGCCCTTGCATGGAATCCTGCTGACATATATGGTGTGAAGCCCCCGCTGTTTGTCTTAAGGTCCTCGACAAAATCCAGAGAAATATATGCAATTTCATTGGCATCTCGTTTACAGCCGTGCCGTCGCTTCCCTCTGTCTTTTCTACAAATACTTTTACGATAACTGATCCAACGAGCTACTTTCACTGCTTCCCAAACCGCATGAATTTAAACGTGCTACTGGATTGGTATCTCAGTTCCACCCTTTCACTGTTGAAACGGTTAAATGTAGCCGTCTCTTCTACTCCAATAGCTTCATGTCTCGCACTTCCCGTATGTAGAACTACCTTCCTCTTACTTGCTTTCCTGATAGCTATAATCTTCAATTATTCAAATGCATCTTCAGATGAGATGCCTTGATCTAATTCCCCGTCTTTCTCTTCATCCTTTCCTCTATCACGCCTCTTTACTCTTGCTCCCACTCTCTGTAACCCCTTGCGTACTCGCGGTACTCCCTCCTTGCATGGGGTGAAATACTTAAAAAAATAGATATAACGATAGAGCAGCGAGAGGGTTTTAAGGTGATTTCAAGTGAGAACCAATGAGTTCGGCTGGTGTGGATATTCATATAATGGAGAACGTAGCAGACGGTGTGATGACAATAAATATTAGGCCGAGATATTCAAAGAGACTGCTGCTACTATTCATTTGATCATCATCAATCAATGGCTATCGCACGCTTCTAAGGTGATAAATTATCATCATTATTATTATTTGTCATGGTAAATCCTCTCTTAGATATATCGACCGTGTGATGGTCGTATCTGAATTCCTATTCATAGCCCAGAGGCACCAGAACAGTTTCTTCAGCACATGAGCTATTCTAACAAGCGCTGCCTCCTGCAGAATCGCAATGATGTTAGCTATCTCCAAGGCATCTTGCCTAATAGAAAGATTCTTGGAGATATTCTTGAGTATGTCAATAACAAAAGAGACTACTTAAGACACTGTTTGTTATATTTCTCTGATTTTCCCTTCCAGGTATTGGTAACTTGGTATTTTCGTATGCACGATGTTCTTATCCCAAGGACCTGCAACTTATTTCGGGATCCATTCAGGGGTACTCTGGCACAAAAGTGTAATGTCAGAGCGATTTCTTTCCAAGAGCTTGTCAGTTAAAATTATTATTATTATTATTTGTCAACAAATTGATGAAGGGAAAACTATACAAAACCCAATATATTCATCATGACAACGAGTCAATATGTTAAATGTGAGTGGTTTGGCGACAGATTTTGATAAAAGTTGCACATAAACTTCCAGGTGGGGCCCCAGTAAGAAATACCTTCTGGTCATATCCTGAATCTTTTACGTAATTTTTTTATATTACTTACACATTTTTATTTGTTGTTATCTCAACATTTTGGCCGATGTGTTGCATAGCGTCTTGGTGGGGGTGGTCTTATCTCGTCTTCTCTTGGCTGGCCATCGCCAGTTGTTTTATTTAGCAATATCAAGCGTGGAGAATTTTAACTTATCTAGTTTTTATTAATGTCAACATGTACTATCTAGTGGAGTCGTTTGCTCTCACTGGGGATTCATCTCAGCCACGAAAGAGAACACGTCTACAATGCTTGACGTGTAAGAACGAAACTCTTTAAAACCTTTCTCTATCTATCAATCCCACGCTAGCTCAACCAATCAAAATCGACTTCCTTATTTTGGGTTGCATCTGACCTCGAAGATCAACTCTCGCAAGTCGCAGCCGTGATAAAATTCCCCCCTTTAAAATAAGTCTGCTAAACTATTATTTAACAGGCGTAGTCCTCGACCTTCTTGAAATATCTATTGATCTAGTTAACTTTCAGGGAATTTCAAACCGATCCCTTTATTTAATCTACAGACTATATTGTTTTCGTCTCACTGTCAATGTCTTGTTCTATATTTTAACCCTGCAAACTTATTACTCATCCTGTCCCAACTGAACTTGCATTACCTTTGCTCAGTGTCTGAACCTACAATTCATTTATTGCCAAATTCAGAACCCAACGCTGTAATCCTCTAGGTTACTATCGTGTGGAAAAATCCTAAATCTATAAATTGGAGTTTTCAAGCTAACATTCTTATTGCCTGTCTGCTGCTTTCATGATTACACTTGCCTTGGCGTTAGGCTTGAACTTTGACACTGACAGCACAACCGAACAATATATCTCTGTAAATTAATTGGAGCTTTCATTTCGAAATTTTCTGGAGGTTACTGGGATCGACAGGCAGCTGAAGAAGTTCAGAGGCTACAACGGTTGAAACGTTGTACTAACAAAAATGATGAAGACATTATTCCGACAGAAATCTATACAGAATATTTCTTTGATTATTTCAAAATGTCTCAACTTTGGTAATTTCCTACATATATATTGGGCTAATCCGGCACTCTGAAAAACGATAACATTTACCCCTTAAGAAACATACACATACACTTGCATATATACACGCGCGCACACATGCATACATATAGATATATGTATAAATTTTCCCGACTGACTCGCTTCCATCTGATAAATGACAACAGTTTGCAATATCAGTTTTTTTTTTGTTCTTCAAACTAAAGACCCAAAATCTCAAGAACAAAATACCGAAGAGCAAAAAAAAAATGTTCTATAATTTTTTGGTCCTTCATTTTTTGTTCTTCACTGTTTTTCAACATCGGTTTTTCTGTCCTTCATTTTTGCTGTTCTTCAGTTTTTCTGTTCTTCATTTTTTCTGTTCTTCATTTTTTCTGTTCTTCATTTTTTCTGTTTTTCTGTCCTTCATTTTTTCTGTTCTTCAGTTTTTCTGTTCTTCAGTTTTTCTGTCCTTCATTTTTTCTGTTCTTCAGTTTTTCTGTCCTTCATTTTTTTCTGTCCTTCATTTTTTATGTCCTTCATTTTTTCTGTTCTTCAGTTTTTCTGTTCTTCATTTTTTCTGTCCCTCATTTTTTTCTGTTTTTCTGTTTTTCTGTCCTTCATATTTTCTGTTCTTCAGTTTTTCTGTCCTTTATTTTTTCTGTTTTTCTGTCCTTCATTTTTTCTGTCCTTCAGTTTTTCTGTTCTTCAGTTTTTCTGTCCTTCATTTTTTCTGTTTTTCTGTCCTTTATTTTTTCTGTTCTTCAGTTTTTCTGTTCTTCAGTTTTTCTGTTATTCCTTTTTTCTGTTTTTCTGTCCTTCATTTTTTATGTCCTTCATTTTTTCTGTTCTTCAGTTTTTCTGTTCTTCATTTTTTATGTCCTTCGTTTTTTCTATTCTTCATTTTTTCTGTCCTTCATTTTTTCTGTTTTTCTGTCCTTCATTTTTTCTGTTCTTCAGTTTTTCTGTTCTAGATTTTTTCTGTCCTTCATTTTTTCTGTTCTTCAGTTTTTCTGTTCTTCAGTTTTGTTGTTAAATTTCGTTGTGCTTTAGTCTTTTGGTCTCATTTTTTTTTGTTTTTCAGTGCTTTCAGTTCTTAATTTTTTTTCATCTTCATTTTTTGTTTTCATTTTTTTGTTTTTTAGTACTTTCGATCTTTCATTTTTTCTTCAGTCTTCTGTTCTCATTTTCTTGTTTTTAATATCTTCAGTTTTTAGTTCTCATTTTTTTTTGTTTTTCAGTGCTTTCGATTCTACAGTTTTTCATCAGTTTTTGTTCTCATTTTCTTGTTTTTCAGTGCTTTCAGTTATTCAGTTTTTTCTTCAATATTTTGTTCTCATTTTTTTGTTTTTCAGTACTTTCGATTGATCAGTTTTTCTTCAGATTTTTGTTCTCATTTTTTTGTTTTTCAGTGCTTTCGATTGATCAGTTTTTCTTCAGTTTTTTGTTCTCATTTTCTTGTTTTTCAGTGCTTTCGATTGATCAGTTTTTCTTCAGTTTTTTGTTCTCATTTTCTTGTTTTTCAGTGCTTTCGATTCTACAGTTTTTCTTCAGTTTTTTGCATCTTGTTTTTCTGATCTTCATTTTTTTTTTGTTCGTCAGTCTATGTTCTTCCATTTTTTGTTCTTCATTTTTTTTCTCTTCATCTTTTCGTTCTTTAGTTTTGGGCTGTTCAGTTTTTTGTTTTTTTTACAGTTTTTTTTTTTTGTTCATCGTTTTTTATTTTTCATCTTCTCTTTTTCTTTTCTTCAGTTATTTCTTTCTTCTTCAATTTTTTCATCTTCATTATTTTCGTTCTTCAGGTGTTTTTTTGTTGTTGTTACTTATTTTAATAATCTTATGGATATTCTCTTTCTTTTTTTTTTCTTTTTTTTCGTTTTCCTGTCCACTGAAAGGACCGTTTCGCTGTTTGTTCTTTCATCACATTCTTCAAAAATTCCTTCTTTATCTTTATTCCACATGGTTCTGTCTTGCGCCATAGCTTCTCAAAACTTTCTTTTTTTTTACAAGTTCTTTTAAATTTCTTTTTTTCTCCCTTTTTTCTTTCGTCATATTCATCTAAACATTTTCTTCTACACTTTCTTTCATTTTTAATATCCTTCTGTTTCGTTTTTTCTAAATTTCTTTCGCGCATTCTTCTCGTGACATCCAAATTTCTTTGTTCACATCCTTCTTTATAGCCTGATAAGTCTTTCTTTTTTCTTTCCTTATGCCTTTGTTCTTATAAATATCTTTCTTTAGTGAATTTTTATTTTTTTTGTGATCTTTTTTTTCATTTCTTTTTATCATTTTACACATTATTTGTTCACCCTTTTTCTTTTCTTTCTGTTTTTATAACCCATTTATTTGGACTATTTTGGGAGCCTCTTTCTATTCTTCTTTGATTAATTTACTTTTTTTATCACTTTCGTTTCTTTTCTCGTATTCCTACGCTGTTCCTTTAGCTCTTTGAACATTTACAATCGTTAAAATTGGCAGAACAGCTGTCAGGTTAGCTTGCACTGAGTTTGAAAATAAGCGAAGGTTATCGGCCTTCTCTAGAGTCTTGCGTGACGTGACTTCATGATGTGAAGTGATCAGGATATCAGCGATAAAGGGAGATTACTCATTACCCGTGGCATTTGTAAAAAAAGACTTCAAAAAAGATCGACAATGTATGTTAGTCTCTTCGCGTGGAGTTAACTGAACAAGAATGAGTATAAACTAATCAATCGATATAATTAAGGTTTTGATAATTCAACCCAGAGTTCACCAGGTAGTATGTGTATATGCGAATAGAAATGGCAAAGTATCCGAATGGGGTGCTGAAAAGTTCTCGGCCCCAATCAATTTCCGAGGGAGAAGGAATTCTTGTTTCAAACTGATCAATTCTCAGCTTTTTTTTTTTTTTGAATTTATAGGTCTGATGATTTTGATCGTGATTACGATTCCAATGTAATAAATTATAACCATGAAATATTAGTGTTTGAGCCTTTTATATTATATTCTTACTCTATTCTGAACATTGAGTTTTACTTGGATTCTATCCTCTTAGGAATATATATATATATATATATATATATATATATATATATATATATATATATATTGACCACTAATATTATCTCTTTTCTCTTTTTTCTCTCTCTCTCTCTCTCTCTCTCTCTCTCTATATATATATATATATATATATATATATATATATATATATATATGGTATATCAGAAATATTGTCACAAAATTTGGAGGTGGGTTCCATATACCAAAACAAGTACAAAAGTACATATAAATATATGTCCGCAAATCCTTCATTTTTGAGTTATTAAGTTTAAAGTAACGTTACGGTAGATGGAGCTTTCTTGCAATGTAGTCTAGATTACATTTGCCATTCGTGTACATTTGTGGCTAGTCTGTCTTCAGCGTTCTACGCGTGTAGTAGTGAGTTAACTGAGAAGTGTACTGTTTAATAATGGCAGGATATTCATATCATGAGCAGACAGATTTGATTTTTACATACGGCCGCGCGAATGATAATGGACACGAGGCTGCACGGCCGTATCAGATTGTGTTTCCGGGCCAAAAGCAGCCGAGTCATCGAATATTTGCTACTGTTTATCGTTGCGTTGCTGAGACAGAATCCGTGGCACCACAAACTATGGATCGAAGAAGACCGGCTGACCACTGACCAGCCTGTAGAATGTGTTCTTACACATTTTACAGGCTGTCGGAGATGATCCAGGTATCAGCACACGTCAAGTGGTCCTAGCATGTCGTGCATCTCATAGTACAGCATGGAGGGTATTTAAAGAGGAGCTACTGTATCCGTATCATTTGCAACGTTTGCAGGATCTTTTGCCTTCTGATCATTCCCCGTGGGAGAAGTTTTGCCGATGGTTTATTGCACAAACTGCCAATCCATTGTTTGTCTCTTCAGTCTTGTTTACGGATGGGGCAACATTTGGAAAAGATGATATAATAAGTAACTTGGATTGTACATTTAACAGCGTCCATCGTAGACTTTAAATACAATAACTCAAAAACAAAGGATTTGCGCACATATGTATATATAGACTTTTGTCACTGTTTTGTTTTCCCAAAAGTTTATAAAAGTATATACACACCCCGAAACGTTGTGATAAACATGGCGACAAAGATGAGGACAATAGTCCGAATGATGTAAATAATGTACATAATACCTCATCTCAGAAATAAAGACAGACTCGGAAGAAACTTTTAGCATAGAATTTACGGCTGCACCTAACTAGCAAAACTGTAAATTGGTGACATCTCGACGCTAGTATCGTACTGCACTTAAATTCAAAATATCTAGATACCATGGCGAACAATTACGATGAAAGTATTTATGGAAAAGACACGGAGAGTTAACTTTATGGCGGTGGGAAAGAGATTGATGCTAATTTGTTTAAGATATAAGTAACCTACATACCGAGTTTGAACGAAATCAGTGCAAAAAAGTTGAATTTATCGATTTTTGATCGGATTTATTGATTATTGATTTTTTTAAAATTATTGATTTTCTACGCGAGAACCTATCTCTTAAATAGTACAATGAATGTGCCATCGGTTGGAGGGGCTCGAGTTAAAAGGTATCACACAAACAGACAGACATACACACATACAGACATCCTCTGTTTTATATATAGATAGATAGATAATTTGGGCTATTTTCAGTTGATAGTGATAAATAAAACTTCATTATCAAGATCTTCCAAGATTTAACTGCTCTATTTTAATTGTCTTAGATGACTTTTATTGCCTCCCATGAGCGCAGATGAGGTTAATCTCCAGAATAACAAATTGCACCATCTCGTGCTAACGTTTTCCACTTAAATAAAGTAGAAAGATTATATTGAATCAATTGATATATCTGCTGCTAAAAAGTTGGTTCCTAGTGTCATGTTAGACAACTTTTCTCGCCGTAATCCTATTCATTTATCCATTCGTTTATGCTTTGAATATTACTGTCACATCTGGTCTGGTGCGTCGGCTATGTATTTCCAGATTCTTGACATAATCCAAAGAAGAATCGGTCCTGACCTGGTATCTTGCCTTCAACCTCTTCTCTACTTCCGTCAGCTAGCTTCCCTGTGCAGTTACTACAAAAATATATATTCATGACAATTACTCTGATGAGTTTCCCTCTTTGGTAACTCGGCAAAAGTTAAGTGCAGTACTTGATTGGCAGCTAGGTCTCATTAATTTACAGTTGAAATGACTAGATGTAACCATAAGTTCTATGCTCACAGTTTCTTCCCTTTTACACCTCGCTTTAAATTGAAAGTGAAAATTCACGTGGAGGCATTTATAGAGATATGCGCTCCATTATCGCATTTTTGTCACGACATTTTTTTTCGAAGAAAGTGATATATTGCTGTTTGATGCTCATAAAATATTATGGAAAAATATGTATTTGTATTTGAATGAGTTCCGTTTCATTTCTAAATAGAGATACAAGCATAAAAAAACATATAATTGAATAGGTCACGACTAATTTAGAAGTTTTTTTTTTTAATTTTGAGAGAAGTACTACATTGATGGTAAGGTCTCATTATTTTGCTGCTAAAATGGCTAGATGTAACCGTAAGTTCTATGCTAACAGTTTCTTCTCTGGCGTATCTCACTCGTGGAGTTTTCTCCCGGCCTCTTGGTTCCCGGACAACTTTGATCTTCAAAAATGTAAATACAACTACAAACGCAATCATTTGTCTGTTTAACTCCTGTTTTTTTTTTTTATAATTCTCGTTCTTTGATAATGTTTTTTCTTTTTCTCATATTCTTTGACACTCAGTAATTCCTTGTGTCTTAGTGGCTTTATTGCCTTGTTTGGACTGAAAGTATAAAAAGAGTATCTAGGTGTCGTCAGTGTGGAAAACACATCCTGGCGTTTTTAGAAACACGTATATAGTAAAAAGATGTGCCAAATATATCTTGATAATTTAAAAAAAAAACACTTTTCCGGTGGAATTTAAGAAAATTGTATACACACACGCGCGCGCAGACACACACAGATACATGCATATACACACATCATCATCTGACTTCAAGCGGAACTCGTACGTACGTACGTTCCACCGTTAATAATGCACATAAAATGGTCGGCTCCCTGCACCTCTTCATTAAGTACCTGATTCCTCATGCTAACCTCTATATTTATAGGAGCCAAATCTAATCGAAAATGGAGTACCATTTTCATATTTGGGCGGGAGCTGCCCCATCCTCACTTTACAGTCTCGATAGAGTTCAAAAGAATCTCCGAGTTATTGTTGTCGAATTATTTTCCACCCTCTGATCTCTCTCTCTCTCTCTCTCTCTCTCTCTCTGTCTCTCTCTTTCTCTCACACAGGCGAGATATGGCGAACCTCTCACTGCTTTATCGCTACTTCCACGGAAAGTGCTCCGACGAATTATATTCCTTGGTTCCCCAGGTTCTAACCTTCACAGTCAAGATCCGATATGCTACTACTTATACTGTAGCAAACCAAGCACATTCCCTCCGTATTCCATCAGTGAGTAGTAAGTTTCATTCGAACAGCTTCTTCCAACGATCTCTTGCTCTGTGGAACCGACTCCCAAGTGAGTGTTTCCCCGATTACTACAATCTTAATCTGTTCAAATCCAGGTTTAACCGTTATCTTCAACTCTTATCCGTATAAACTTCCTCTTAACGTCACCCTCTAAATTGAGTGGCCTTGTACAGCGTGAACCTCACTGAAAAAAACAAACAGAACACTAAATTTATGGCAATTGTTCGAATGAGCTCTTCGTTATGGTAGCTACAGTTTTTTTCCTTTTTAATTTAAGCGAGGTTATCTCCTGTTAATTTCCCTCTTAAAGTTCACTGCCTTAATCGGGTATTGAACTCACATTCTTTGGGTCCTGCCACTGGATCTAACTAACTAGGGAAATTATATGACACCCAATCAATTCCAAAAGCTGAAAGAAAGGATTTTATATACATATATATATATGTGTGTGTGTGTGTGTGTGTGTGTGTGAGAGAGAGAGAGAGAGAGAGAGAGAGAGAGAGAGAGAGAGATTGGGGGATCGTCGGGTTATTCAGGCCGAAAATGGAGTACTGTTGTCATATTTGGGCGGGGGTTGCCCAGTCCTTACTTTACAGTCTCAATAGAGTTCAAAAGAATCTCCGAGTTGTGGTTAACGAATTATTTTCCACCCTCCGATCTCTCTCTCTCTCTCACAGGCTAGATATGGCAAACCTCTCGCTAATCTATCGCTACTTCCACGGAAAGTGCTCGGACGAACTATATTCCTTGATTTCCCAGGTTCTAATCTTCACAACCAAGACCCGATATGCTACTTACATTGTAGCAAACCACTCACATTCCCTCCGTATTTTACTGGTGAGAAGTATGTTCCACTCGAG